TACATCTACAAATACTAGATGCTGCCTATTTATTTCAGAGAAGTATATTAATGATTCAATTATAATTAGTTATATAGGATGACTAATGCCATATGTAACAGAATTTAATGAACCCCTTTGGTACTTGCAGTGGAGATTATAACGAAAAGGACAACACAGGAAGTCACAAAACAGAAGAGACTTTGAGGCTCATGAAGTGGTGAAAACTTCTACTCTAGTGCAGCCTACTGAATGAACAGCATGTAAAAATCCCCCAAACACCAAAAAGCTGTAAAATCTGTAGGCTTTTTTTATCTCCTACCAGATTTGGAAACTTAGGTTTCTTTTTAGATGAGCTTGGTGACAGCATGCAGACAAGATACTGTTCTAGGAAATATAAAGAATGGGCTTGATGAGGAGGGAGATATTATATGTTCTTTTCTTTTTCTACTTAAAAAGTGTGCACTGTCATGATTTTCTTGTCTTCTTATTTTATTCATTATACATTGGGCATTCTGGCCTTATTTTTTCCTGTATTTAGTCCAACCTATGCACATATCTTGCCACTCTTTGTACCTGTAATTCTGGTTTTATTACTCTAGGAAGTATCTATTTATTGATGCTGAGATTCTAGTAAACCTCTTAATGCCTGTGACTGTTTCTGCTGTAAAGTGCTCATATAAATGCTTCGAAAAAGTATCCTCTCAAATATTGTGATACTGATCATTGATAAAGACCTTGTAGTTTATCATAAAACTGTAATAACTTGATTGGCTTGTACCTGTACTTGCATGGCTTTTAGCGTAGTTGAGGGTAAAACGCTGCTGTTTGCATCGTCAATGCTTATATTATTACTACTGTCACTAATGAAATGGTCATGAGATGTTACTACCTGTGTGATAAGCTTAGGGAGTAGTTTGGCATATGTTCTGTACAGCAGAGAAGTCTGTGTAAACATCATTATTATTTTAAGATTAATGTAAATGGTCTTTCAAGTATCTTGTTTCATATACTGACAAGCTAAAAGGAACTGCTGGGAGAATATTAAGGACAGGATTCTTCTCACCCAGTCTGAGACATTTACAGTGGAGATTTCTAGAACTTAATGTAGATCTCCCAGGACCCTATATCATCATTAGAGAGGAAATGGTGACTTTGGGGCATGCTTAATCTTAACTCCTTTTAAACATCTGCTTTAGTACAATTGGAATCACATCCTAGGATACCCAGACTCTTCTGATTTTACCTATACTGATGGTAGCGATAGCTCTGCATGAATGTTTGGGCATCTAGATTTTGTGAGCTAAGCCCAGTAAACGGTGAAGTCCCAGAAAACAGTCCCCAGAAGCTGGCAGTGCTTTTGCACATTCCTGAGTAGCTGCCATCATGGTGGATCTGGTGCGTAAGTGTTGAGTGTGTAAGTGGAATTGGCTGTATCTCCAAGCCCAAGAGGGGACTCTCAGGCATATTTAATGCATATGGGAAAAACTGGCATCTTGAAATAGAACAGTCTGTTTCATAAAAGTCATACCATGAGGAGCTGGCTCCTTTCCTCAGTATCTCAAAGGAAGGAGAATTCTCTCAGCGTATTAGGAGTGCAGGTGTGTGCTCTCTGTGCAAGGTCCTGTCATATCACAAAAACCTATGTTAGCATGGTGGAAAGTTCTTCTGAAGTGGGAGGACTCTCCCCTTTTATAACCATGTCACTTGACAGTAAGCTGGGCCAAACAAATAAAAATTGATCTAAGATTATGCATCTCCCTTGAAGAGGGGAGCACTGTTGCCCCTCTATGAGAATTACTTCTACACTTAATGCAAGGGTGAGTCTGTTTGTTCCTATGTGTTCCTTCTCCCACAAAGGGGATTTAATGGCTTCACTACAAAATGTGCTCCTCTCTGTTTCTCTCTGACTGGTACCTTCTCTCTCCCAGGCTGAAGATTAGGTCGTGCATAAGCCTTGGGCTGTCATTCTGCACCACAGAGAACATTAAAAGTAAATCTTGTTTACTGTTTGACTTCATCTCTCTTGGTGTGGTGTGCCTTTTGGCACACAGAATGGCAATTATTAGAAATTTGCTCCCAGTAATGAATACAGTCTTAACTCAAGGTTAATGCCAAGCAGAGTGACAAGTACGCTTGCCTTTTTGCTTGCTACTGAATTGCTGGCATCTGAGAAAGATGGTTACATACTTGTGGTGTTCGGTTTGTGCTAAAATTGTAAACAACCAGTTTGAAGTTTGGTAAGCTGTCTGGAGGGCTAAGGCATGACTATAATATATGCAGGATGAAAGTATATAACTCAACTCTGACAACATTCTTTGAAGGAAATTTAATACATTGTCTTCGGTGTATGCAAGATCTGTTTTATTAAAAATAGAGCAAAGGTATAATAGGATTTGATCACCCTGACTGGAACATTGTAAAGAAAGGGCCAGGCACTAAACCATTGATGCTTAAATCAGGGGAAAAGCTAGTTAGCTTCCCTGACATTAGGGGAATGAATTTTTAGAATGCTGTTCATTGATATCTGACAAACAACTTGAAAGGGATGCCAAACCCTCAGGGTTTCTGTCAGGAGCCTTAAAACACATTTGCATATTTTTTTGCATAGAAACAGGAGCTCTCTCTCTGTTGCCAAACTGCAGAACTAAAAGGATGCAAAAACTCTATCTAGTCCAAAGGGCTCTGAGGAGGAGCTTAACCAGAATTCAAATGTGTGCAATAGATTAGGAAAATTACTTCAAATGGGATTTCAACCATATCTAAGGGAGACACAGAAATCCTGAACAGTTGGTAGGCAAAATGCTACCTGCACTGCCATTAAAAAGCTTGTTTTCTTCTCTAGGCATTTCTCATGTAAAAAATAGCTCACTGACGTCAACTGATCACAAAGATTATTGTTGCTTAAGGTGCTACTGCTTAATTCTCTTGATATCAAATGCAGTTTTTTTCTGAGAGTTTTGATTTTCTCAACTTGAAATCAATACTATTGTGAATAGGACAAGAGTGATGGAGCAATAAAGAAATTATTGTCCTCCACATGCAGCCAGTACACCCAGTGGTCCTGTTTGTTGGCATCTGAATGTCTTTCCTAGCTATACCATTTGCTGTCAGTTGTTGTGGATTGAACCAGGAGTCCCTGAGCCTTGAAAGGACTGCAGAGTGCCTTGCCAGCATGGGCAACTCTGCTGAAGTACAGAATCTGTGACAGTGTGAGCTGGAGTTTGAGTTAGACTGGTTTTAACTCCTGTTGGTGGGAGTTTGACTGGGAAATTTTAGCATCCATGGAATGGCTCACACACAGATACAGCTGTGCTCACCCCTCTGGTATCACTCATACTGCTCTTATGCCTGTCCTTTTCACTGAATTGTTTCCTTGTTTGATTCCAAATGTTATTCTGTTCTTTCATTAAAGGAAAATACTCGCAAAGACAAGAAAACATTTGGAGTCAAAATTGCACTTAATATACAGGCGATATTGTGTTGGCAATATCTTCTATATCATGGACTAACTATACTTCTATTATTTTGAGGAGGAAGCTGATGGCTGCAGAGAAATTCATTATGGGTGAAAGCATCATGAAATTTTTAGCATACAGTTTTACTCTCTGGTCATCCACCCACCCAGGCATATGTGAGTGGAGTTCTCATTGTATTAACAGAGAGTTGCCTTTTAAATTTCCCATGGATCAAGTGAACAATAGACTTCCATTGCGTATACATGGCAGTGCCATTGATCTGATTGATTTTGAGTTGCAGTGGTGGATGTGGTCAGTGATGTGTGAACAGGAAAGGCGCAGTTAACTCTTTTCATGAAAGTCTATATTAGCCAAACCTGTCTTTGAAATAAAGTTCTAATAAGAAAGGCCATATTGATACAGTTAGATTACAGTGATTATGATGTTAGAAAATGAGAACGTTATCTGTGACTTAAGTTATGGATTTGCTCAACACTGGTGGGGTTTTAAAACTTTGGAAAAAGATTGGTATCATATCTTCTTTAAAGATCTGGCTTTTTATCTGCATAATGTAACTTTTTATCTCCTTACCCTTCATTTTCAAGGCTCATGTACAGCAGCATAGGCTGACAGAGACTAACAACGCAGAGTATGTGTGGCTTCACATCGACATCCTACAGAGAAATGGTTTTAAATGGCGGAGGAGGCCTTTCAGTAGCTCAGAAGAAATGTTTTTGCCAAGTTCGTGTGGTTGCAGTCAAATCAGGAGTATTAGGCATGTCTCCTGCCTCTTGGAAAGATGAACATCAGACTGTTGGCAGAACGATGAGACACTTGGGTCTGCTGGGTTGCCTGGTTTTGTGCCTTGTCTGCAGGTTCTTGGGGGAGTGGTGCAGCTTTCCCTGGACAGGGCAGAGGAGATTCCTATGCAGGATAGGCCATAGCCTGGGGAGAGTGCTCGCTGGGGGGGTGAATGTGTGAAGGATACTGCAACTGAGCTAATGGTCTGTCTGGAACTGTACTGGTGGAATGGGGAATCCTGCATGGCAGCCATGCAAGGCACCTGCAGAAGCAAAAGCTATCACATTTCTACTTTTTTCAAGTAAAATTATTACTTGCCTAAGATGTACAGGGCTGTTTGGGGCAGATCTTGTTCTCGTACTTAAAACTGAAATCTATTTGTGGATCTGAGTTCTACAGTCTGGCAGAGCTTCTGAAGATGATCAGAATCAAAAGACTTTAGCTTCAGTGCATAGAAGCATTAAAACCTTATTTTGAACAGCAGTGGATTTGTTTCACAGAGGTAGTTTTCTCATAAGGGTAATTTGAAAATATATTCCACATTTGGTGATATTCTGGTCTAATTTCTTGAAATAAAAATCGTGAAGAAAATATTCCACTTTCTACAATGTCAGTATAGTCCAAGCATCAGAATTTATATAGAAATATATTTGTAGCAATTTTAGAAGCGCTATTTTTAATATAATTATCTTTTTTTCCCCCAGTAAATAGGGAAACCGCTTAATTCTGTTTTCACCTTGATTTCCAAACTTTTGTTTCCAGCAGAGTCAAAATGTCAGACAAAAGTGATTTAAAAGCAGAACTTGAGCGCAAAAAGCAACGTTTGGCTCAGATAAGAGAAGAAAAGAAACGGAAGGAGGAAGAACGGAAGAAGAAAGAGGTAAATTTGCAAAAACACCTTTAGATAGCTCATGCTTGAAGAAGGGGCTTGTTGGGGTTTTGACATCTAAGTATTGCATAGCCCAAGGTATCTGTCATGTGGAATGAGATCCTTAAACCCACATCAGACCAGCCTTAAAATCAAAATGCTTATTTTTAGTCGAGAATGTTGGGGAAAGGGAATTGCTTTTAAAACCATGGCACTGTCAGATGACAACAGTTTAGACAACATGATGTGTATGTGTGTGTAGAAAGAAAAATTGATTTGCCACAATGCTTTTTCCTGGGCTCTCCTTCAATGGAAAGGGAGTGGAGAGTAGGGAAAGACAGAAAGAGGCCTCACATTTTTTCAGGCCATTACAATCTAAATATGTATTTTTGTACTCTGAAGACTAGTTTGATTACTAGCTAAGGTAACAGATTTACAATTATTATTCTCCAGTAAAGTAAAACATAATTGCAATTGCATTTTCGTCTTCTGGCATGGTTGCATCTTTCAGTTCTGTTAAAGTTTGATTGGCATATTAGTTTATTTGTCCTTGACAACATGCATTAGGTTTTTCATTAAGGGATTTGTACTTCTTTTTGTTCAGTCACTTAGTGGAATAGAGGTGAGAATTGACAGGGAGTGGATATTAATTTTCATGCAAAGTCAGAGAAGCATTAAGTGATTATGCTTCCTTTCCTTCAAATGTCAACACTTACTACAGTTTAAAGCACCTGTTATCCTTTACTAATAACTGGTTTCCTTTTAAACTGACACTTTAATATTGTACATGAATTTCATGGAATTATCGTGGAAATGTGATGTGATCCAAGAAATCAGAGTTCCAGTTTTGGCTGTCTTTTTAATCTTTTTTCATATGAGCCACATTTGTGCAGTTACCAGCACACGCCCCAGTGAGGCTCCTGGAGTCACTGGGGGAGTTGTTGATAAGCAGAACTTTAAATGGTAGCGTTTTCAGTGTTCATTACTAAAGAATTAGAGGGAAGGAAGCCAAGGTAATGGCTCAAGGGAGCTATTAAGTCCTTTCCTTTGTCCCCTGACTCTGATTTTATGTCTCGTGGAGATCCTGTGGCAGTTGGAACTTTCCATTGTCCCCGATAGCCAGATCTAGCTTGTCTCGGGGCACCCAGCTCTACAGCTAATGCTGCAGTGTGTAATTGTGGAGCTGTAAATGGGCTGCACTGTGATGCCAGGTGGCATCCAGGAGCGATGGCTGACACTCACTGAGGTGCTTAGCCATGCACACTGGTGCAGGAGAGTTGCCTACAGCCTTGCATACTATGAGACAGTTCGTGTGAAGAGCTGAGCGCAGGAATATGCCTGAACTTTGTAAAAGCCATGTTCTTTCTGACCATGTCCAAACTGGAGAACATGGGATTCTTTTGAACTTCAAGGTTTTTTGTTGTGCTTGCACTGACATCAGCACCAGTGTGAGGCACTAGGCAAGTCCCCTTTGCCCCACACTCTGGTAGCAGCAGAAAGGGAAATCTTTTTGTGCAGTTCTGGCTAATACAGATGCTCCTCCTGGTTTTAGATGCCAGAGAGGGAGAAGGCTAATGTGCAGAAGATCCAAGGAGGTATAGATATCTAAGCAGAGAGGGAGGGGTCTTGTGGACCTTTAGTTTTGGCTGTTGGTGCCAAAGGCTGCCAAAGTCCTAGTTTAGAGACGTTAGTTCTTTCCTTTACTCCTGTTAGATGTTGAATATTTTCTGCTCATATAATTGCTAGAGCTGATTATATGTGAAATGAACTTTTCTGTTTTCTTCTGTTTTAATTCAGGCTGATCTACAGCAAAAGAAGGAGCCAGCTCAGGAAGATTCTGACCTAGACCGTAAAAGAAGAGAGACAGAAGCTTTGTTACAGAGCATTGGTATATCTCCAGAACCACCTCTAGGTATTTAAGAGAAGAACACTGTAAAGCATTCAGCTTTGCCACAATGAATGCATTCTTTCTCCTAAAGCATGCTTGGCTTTTTTGATTTTTGGCTGTATTAGTGAAGTGAACTCTTCTGTTTGAATGCCTGCCATACCATCTACATTTACAAGCTCATGGCATTATGAGTACTTGTCATTGCCTAAAACATCTGTTTCATTTCTTAAAGAAATTTTTGTGAACATAATGCAGGTTGGTTTTGCATACCAGCAGTGATTTCTTTTCTGATGGATTGTTTTATCTTCTCTCACATCTATCTGATGACCCAAAAATATTATGATAAATACTGTTCTTCATTAGTCCCAAGTTTTGTTTCAAAAATTCAGGTTAATCATTTATAAGGAAGGAGGAGCATAGTCATATTGGAATTTCACTGATTTTCTTTTAAAATCAAGCAAAAGTGGAGAAGGGAAATAAAAAACCCCCCCACAAATAGCAAAATGCTTATCAACAAAACACTATGGTAGTTTTTAGCTCTGGTTTCATGTGCTCGAGTTCTTTTTTGGTTTTGATGTTTAATTCTAGAACCCAAAGTCCTCAATTTAAAAATACATTTAGTATCAAGTAATGGTTAGGGTAATTTTATGTATAATAAAATATGTTTTCTTGAATTATGTCATAATATTATAAAATCAGATACATTTTTAATGTCTAGTGTTTAAAATACTCATTTTTATCTAAGACTGAGTATATATGTCCTTATCATTTTATGAACTAAACATCTATATTGATGTTGCAAATTATCAATTCTTATCTTAGTTAATTATTTTGTGTTTAATACTGACAACAGAACATGAGAATTCACATTCCTTTTAGTTAAAAATAGTATTTTGTTCTCTTTCATTCCCTGTATATGCACTCACAATTAATATACAAAGGAGGCTTTACTTCTGCCTTCACATATGATACCAGGTCTCACTGCAAATATGGAATACGTGAACAACCAGGCATACCTGTAACCTGCCAAAGGGCTGTAATGAAGATGAATTCCCTTTTCATGCTGCAGTCGTTCCTATGACAGTCTCTAGTGAGAATCTACATTAAATGTTTGACCACATGGAAAATCCAAATCTCTTGACAGGTCTGTCATTATACGTTATAAAGCATAACAAAGTAGTTTAAAGCTTTGCTCCATTAAATCTATAAAAGGAAACGCACATGATTTAAACCAAATGGGAAACTTTGTTTTTGCATTAAAACCCCTTTTTGTGTTTATTCAGTGTGGCTGCTTTGAGGAATACTTGCACTAAGTGTTGACTGAAGCCATCTCTGCATTTTTAATATTTTTGAGAAACCATTTTAAAAGAAATCAGGATATTTTTACTCTTTTATTTATTATTTCCTTGCTGAAGAGCTTTAACTTGGGCTGACCTTGAGCTATGAACTTCCTTTCCTGTTTCAGGAAACAAAACTGCCTTTGCATGAAATATGCTTCAAAAGCCCTGGCAAGCCAAAGAGAGAATCATTTCAAGAGCTTGGACAAATAGTGTCTAAACCAAGGGAAACTTTTCCTTGAGTGTTGAAATCATGTCCCACCCAAAACGGAAATTTTATATGACCTACCTTACCTAACACAATCACTAAGCAAACTAATATGTATTCTCACGTCTTTGGGAAATGATTTTAACTTAGCTGGATTTCCTTATTTAGCTTTTATTTTTTATGTCATTTCCACACTGCAGCCTTAGAGCATATGTAGTGATCACTGGCTTTTTATTTAAATTCAGAATTTGAAACGTATGCTTGTTCTGTTACCTACTTGACTTTACCAGAAGAGTTCACTTAGTTTTTTGACAAGACAAGCCCCTGATATTTCTTCATACCTTTAAAATCTTTTGCAAGTCAACTTCAAACCAGACCCAAGAAAACAAGTGGTGTTTTATTTCCACAGAAATCTTCTCCATTGATTAGCTGTAGATTTCCATTGGGCCTTCAGTCCTGTCTAAATACATGTCAGTTTTAACACTTCCAGGAGATTTAAAATTCACTTGACTCTCTTCCTTTTCTTTTTCTTTCCTTCCTTATTTGCTTTCACCATTTCAAACTCTCCTACTCATTCATCCACTATCATTTTGGTCCATTGGTTTTGATTTGTCTGACACTGCTCTTCATCAGTGCAGTCGCTGCATGTGTTAACATGGGATACCTGTTATTTTCATTATTTAGTCCCAACCCCTATGTCTCCCTCTTCGAAATCAGTGAGCACACCCAGTGACGCAGGCAGCCAGGACTCAGGGGATCTGGGACCCATAGGAAGGTAAGACACAGAGTCAATAGAATTGAATAAATGTGGGGTTTTTCACTTCGCTCTTATTTCTCCATTTTTTCCTTTTCTTCTGTAAATAAGAACATGCTGTATCAAATGTGAACTTATGTTTCTGCATTTTCCACTGTATGTTACCATCCAGGAAGACTGGTCTCAGATGTGAGGTAAACAGATGTATGCAGCAAGCAGATCTTAAGCTATGAGCCCCAAACCTCATAGTGGAAGCAAAAGCTCCACTTACACTTCTAAAATGGCCCACAGAAAGCTCTCATTCTGTGTGGAAACACACTAAAAACAGGGGGAAGTGCCTAGACGTAGAACCTGTTATTTAAATTCTCTTTGTTCAGATAACCAGTCCCCTTAGAAGTTCTCCCCCGTGTTACACCAGGTTGCTTCAGGTTCCTGAGGCTGCTCATCAGGATGTGGCAGGGAGTAGCTTGAACAGGAACAGGCTGAGACATCCCAGGACCCACTGGCAATTCTGCTTTGGAAACTCTGGATATTGGAGAGTTTCATGCAGAATGGGAGGGAAGTAACTCTCCTCTTGTTAGAAAGGGACAGTGGTGCGTGTGTGAGGGATGGTAACAAGCAATCTTCTTATCTTTGTCTGCACGGTTTAAATAGAAAATCCCAAAATAATTCCTACTCTGGAGCAGAAAAGAAAGGAGGATGCTGCTGGTAAAGGAGCATATGTTCAAGTAAGGAAAAAGTGCAGGCAGCTATACGGTATGTTTTGAGAAATGTGAAACATGGGTCCTAATAGCTCTTTTTGTATCAAACTAATTCAACATAGAGCTGCCAGCGCATCCAAATCTGTGAGCCAAGACTCTGCTAACGGTTTGAAAACACAGTGATTGCTTTCTGCAGTTAACGGTGCTCAGCTGACATTATAACTCCACAGACACAAAATGTAACGTGATAGAACTTCAGTTCATCCGATTTCATGCCACACCAGCCTTCTGCTTAGAAAAATCACACTTCTCTAAGCTGCAAGTATGTTGTGTCCCCTTCAGCCGGGTGCAGACGCCGTCCGTTGTGATGTGGAGGCTGCGTATCTGCTACTAAAATCGGCTCAGCCTTGCTCCCACGTCTATCCTCTGGAAGAAATGGAGGTTATTAAGTGGAAAAGCCCTAGCCTCTGAGATGTAGCAGTTCAAAACACAGAAAACAGTGTAATGCTGCCTTCATAAGTAAATGCAGTAGACTTCAGCAAATCAAAGTGCTTTCAGTAGAACAAAAATAGTTTTAAAGCAAAGTATAGCCTGCTGTTCGGGATGAAGTTATTTCCCACAGTCCTATGTGAAGCTATGACAAAGCTGGGTGGAGAATTCTGAATTCCTGGTTTTCCTCTGAATCTTAATAGTGTAACTTTTTTACCATTAGGATAATGAAATGCTCTTGGAAGAATTTATTTTGCTGTGACCTACGCTAGCACTTTGGCTACCTGTTCAGCAACAAGCAATGAGAGCACATGACCACGTGTCCTTTCAGAGGAGAATGGAGTTTGTCCTCTTCTTCAGAGCTTATGCTGTACTGCATTGTGGGGCTTTCATTTTGGATGTATTTTTTGGCGTGTTATGGCCGTACTAGGAATTCAGTGGGAATCTTAAGACCTTGCTTGTAGACCACCAGTTTTCTTGGTATCCTCTCAGGTATTGAAAGGGCTGTGCCACCTGTTAGGATGGCTGCTTGCAGATGTTTGCCTGGAGCAATTGGTTTCTGGCAACGGAAATATGATAATGTCTGGTCCAGGCCCTGGGGAATGACTGTAACTAGTGGATACTACTGGGTGGCAATTAGTCAAATTAAAGTCACTGGGTGCAAGTAGATGCACTCAGTGTTTGTGCATTTATGATAGAGCAGTCAAACTCGGAGAGGAAGGTATTGATGGACCTGTCATCACAGCAGGTAAACAAGAGGAAAGCATTTCAGCTTTCCTGAGAGATGCTTAGACTGTGCTTCTGACTTACTTTGACTACTGTATATATTAATGCCTGTTTATCTGTATAAACAAAGTTGTCCTTCATTTTAATGTGTCCTTCTATTTGGAACTCTATGATAGAGAGGGTGCTTCTGCTGGATTCCCTGTCATGCCATCATGCTTGTTAGATCTTTTGCTTTTCCTCTTTCTGCTGTGAATTTTCTGTGCTAGGCTGAGCTCAGGATTTAGAGGGGAAGAGATTAGTTTCAAAGCTGCTAATGCCCCAATCTCTGTGATCACAGCTTGTCTGTCATTGTTGCTGCTAACACTGCTGCAGAAATGACGAGCTCACACAGCCTGGCAGAAATCCTGCTTGCAATTTGATTACTCATTGCTGAAGTGTTCCCCAGAGGAAGATACGGATATTCAAAAAAAAAAGCTGTGAAGTCACAGATTTTGGCTCACTACATGAGAGCTCTGTTGAAAGCTTTGAAGAATGCAAGAGATCTTCATATGTTCCCATATGAGGGAGCAGGTTCTGTTGCAGAACTAAATTGTGTTCATACTTCCTTGAGTTGTTAGTACTTCTGGTAGTTGTGAGACTTAATCTGTTGGTCCCAATATCACCAAGTATACCTGAGGTATGCTTTGATCAGCAAGCACCTGTGATTCCTTATGTAACAGTGAATGTAGTTCTGCCAGAAACCCAGGTATCTGACGTCTGCTTTTCAGGAAGGACAATTGATAAACTGGAAAGTTTGAACAGTGTTATGTAGTTGTAGTCCTGGAGACAGAGACCTCACTCAGTCTTACTTTGCAAGATAAAAACTGACTGGTAACTTGCTCACCAAGTGTAATAGTTATATGGGGTGGAAACAAGCTCTGGAAGGCAAGGTGTAAGAGCAGCAATGTGTTTGACATTGAAACTGGACAAATGCAAAACCAGAAAAACTGTGAAATTCAAGAATGAAGACAAATTTACCTAAAGACTCTATTGGATCTTCTGTCACTGCCTGTTGCTCATTCAGGATAATCTACCTGACAAACAGGCAGATACTAGGTCAAACAATAACTCATTCATGAAAGTCGTGCAGCTCTTTTGTTGCACAGGAAGAAAAGCTGCATGGTCACAATGGTCCCTTCTGCCATGCAACCCATAGACTAGTAGTGCTGCTGTCCTGCAGGACCATTGTCCATTATCTCCAGCACAATAGCCAGAGCAGTGTTGTCTTTTCCCTGGTGCCATTCAGCTTCTTAGGGGATGGTATGAGGCGGACTGTGTAATAGCATTAAGTTATGGAATCATTTCTGTCTTGCACAGCCCAGGTTTCTGTGGGGTTTTTTTGCTGCTTTATGTTTAGTACTATTTAGCTATTTGTCATAACCTTTTCACAGGGCATAACACTAGGTTTCAGCAGCATTCCAGCTTCCCTCTGAGCCATGACGGTAACTGTAAGAATAAGCAGATGTTAGATGAGTAACAGTTCTAGAAATTGCTGACCGAATGCTTTCAGTTGAACAGGAGAGCCAAATATTTTTTTAATTTTTTTTTGTGGTCTTGGGGATCATTTCTGGATAGGTAGAGGTGTGTCATACTTTGATTCTGGTGCTGCTCTTAGTTATCAGGCTGCACTGAACAATTCATTGGAGCCCAGCTGTTGCTCAGAGAGCAACTTGCCTATCTCCACATTGCTTTGCACATTGCAGTTCGTTTTTCTGATGCCTGTGTTTCTTGTGCTACACAGATAGGACAGGAAAATAACATCATAGCCTGACCTGTCTCTGAATACATGGGTTATTGGTTCACAGGGCTTTCTGTTATTCAGATATGACTCATTTTCCACAAGGCAATGTTGCAGGATCCCATGAAGATCTCCTTGGAATCGAGTATGCTTGGCTCTTTCAGGATAAGTATTTTGTTTTGTTTAGTATTTTGTAAGCATTTTGATGATTCCCAGTGTCATATTGCTGATAGTCAGCTTATACAGACGCGCACAACTGAAATGTAGACTGGAATACATATGAAGAAAAGGGCTGAGGTAAAGGCATTTGCCAAGAGCTCCTGTGCCACAGCATGGTGTGAAACAAATTTGCCTCTTCAGGACTATTAATATGGAACTTCTTCATGATAACTATATGCATCTCCCTAGTGGATACTCTGAAATTTTGCTACCATAGTATGCCAGAGAGGATAATAGATATTGTATTAGAGCCATCATAAAACAGTGCCCACAAAGAGGCATGTTTTACTACTCAGTATACCTTAGGCATTCATAAATCTCATGTTCATAGCACTCTCAGCCATGAACTCCAGATTTGTGTCATCTGAAGAAGTGTACAAGGACAAACCTTGTACAATGCCTCAAAGCCAGGCAGCTCAATACCAGGTCTTGTGGGCTGAGCAGCTCCCTGGAAAGGATATCCTGGCACAGGTAGGGCCAAAGCACATGTGCTTTGCATGTCAGCTCAACTTTAGATAGCAGAAATACACCTGTGCTGGAAGGATGTGCTGCTGTGGCTGGGTAGATTTCAGTGCTAATACAAGCCTGTGTTGGTATGTATTCCTGTATTACTTGCACTTTGTCATGTGTTCACCCTGTTCACTGGCATATTGCACACTTGGAGTTTGTGGACCAAGGTGTAATTTATCTGTGTGGCCCATTTTGCCCTGTATGCTTCACTGCTCCTGTATGTTCCTAGCTGGGAACATGCTATATGTTCCCAGCTAGCTTCACCATCCTACAGTATGTTTGCACAGTAGCGTCCTATCTATTGTTGAGCTGAATTGTGTGGGCGTGCGTGCAGTGGAGTGCCCTGCGTGCAGCACTTTCCACTGTGCACTGAGGAACATGAGAATCCCATTAGGCTGGGTGTGAAGTTTCCCACCTGCCATCTGCTCAGTGAACTGCACCAGGCTCAGCTGCCTTGGACGTGTAAAGGTTAATGGTTGCCTTTCTTTCTGCAACAGTTTCATCTGTGCTCTTTTGCTTTCTAACTTGGGTGTTTTGCTGCCCGTATGTTTAGATACCTGATTATTTTGTGGGCTACCATAAAGACAAAGATGTAGGAA